GGTATCACTTCTTCTCTGAATGTTTTATAGAATTCTCCAGTGAATCCGTCTGGGCCCCACTGAGAATTCTTGACTTGTCAGATATCATCCCTCCCTTATCCCTGTGAAATTAAAAACAAAAACAAACAAACAAACAAAAAAATAGCAGAACATACGTTCCCTGCACTCAATGTCCTTTCCTCACTAGAGGAGCTATTATTATTATGGATGCTATTCTGAAAAAAAATTAGAACTATTAAATCATTATAGATTTAGGATTGGAGAAAGAGAAGCTATTAAAGAAAAAATAGGAGTAGTATGGAAACACTAACTCGGGATAAAGCTCCCTAGGCAATTCATGTAGTTATGACTCCTTTTCTGAAAAAATGTCTGTGCCTGGATTGTCTAAATTTTCTGATTTTAATTTGTGTGAGGTTTTGAAGTTTCACTTTAGAATTTTTAAAAATAAACATTCTCTCTTAGAATCTAAATAGCAAAGGGAGATTTATGGTGCTGTTATCAATTCACACAGTGGTTCAGAGAAGAACTGAAGAGTATTGTGGTACTTTGAAAATAGGAAATGCCTAAACTAGATGCTGCAATTCCCAGAGTGAGCATGTTTAAAGGGTGATGGAGTCTGGGAAGGCAATGGGCCTGGGAGGACAGGCAAGCAGGATACCAAAGACTGCATTTGCCTATTTGAAATATTGCTTTATGTCAGCAAGAATATGGGAGAAAATTCTTAAGTTTATAATCTAATGCTACACATCTTACTGCAGCCAGGATTAATAACCCAAAAAGGAATATGTAAGCACTATGGTAATCTTGGGAAAATCTAGTAACCTGCAGTTATTTATTATTCAGTTTGTGTATCAGGATATATTCCCAAGGTACAAATAATCAGTATTTAGAGATAACACACTCTATTTATACATCTGAAGCCATCTCTCCTCAGGGTGAACCAGAGTAAATTTATGAAAGGCAATTGCTTCCATATTGTGGAAGGAATCATCTTAGCAGCTGGCACTTAAAAAGTATGCCAAGTTGCTGTAGGAGCCAGGAACTCTCTGGGGTCTGGAGGAAGCAAACTGCTGGAGGTGCTATAGGGATCCTGCTTAAATAGCACTGAAATGCACTTGTCAGGAGTCTTTTCGTCTTCTCTCTTAAGTATTATAAGAAGTGAGATATATTTGTTTTTGTATCTCAGATTACTGGGTTTGATAAGGCAAATCCAGTTTATTTTAGTGGTGAATACTAATAAAAGAAAAATTCTTTACATATATTACATGTGTATATAATTCTATTTATATTGTACAATGTCATTTAAAAAAGCCTTCCATGTAATTTCAGGTTACGTTTAGCAAGAATGAATGAAGAGATGCGGGAATCCGAAGGACTTTATGGACAGCCAGGTCAATATTCTACTAATAACCATACTGAAATGCAGTATAAGAAATGCATTCAGGAATTTATCAGTTTACAGTTGGAAGATTCATAGTTCTTTAACAAACTAACTTAACACCGTAGAGTTTTTATAACCTACTTGTAAATTGGGTGTTTCTAGCTGTGTACTGTACTTACTGAATTCTTGAGTGGCTAATTGCCAGATTGTTAAAAATCTACCACTATTCCTATCACAGTACACATTTACACACAGTATTTAACTTCTTGGCTGCTGACTTCCTTTACCTGCTGTACAGATGTCTTCCATATACATTCCAGTGAAATGAATGGAATGAAAATGTGTTCTTTATATACTTAAAGCAGCACAATAGGTGTTTTATTTTTGAAATTCTTTTTAGCTGTCAAGTGAATATAATAATAATTTCCTTTTTGTCATTCAGGGAATTTCTATAAATTGTGTTCAGGGAAAAAACAAATCATCATATGTTTGGCATAGAAAAAGTCAATATGGAAAATACCAAGAAAATGTTTATTGAATTAAGAGTTTTATACTCCAATCTAAAAATGAGTTGAATGTTTCAAGTAAAAGGTTACCAGCAGGGTAAGAAGTCCGCAATGAGAATGAAATTAGTTTAAAAGCTAGAGGGAAAAGGTCTTATTCAGTCTTGTAGCTTTGTTCCAAGCAATGGTGTCAAATATCTATTGGATAACTGGAATATATTTAGAACAATATTTTGTGAACTTGATGGCAAAGTAGACTTACTCTTGTTAGAGAAATTTCAACTCATGATCAGCTTAACTTTCAGTTTTGATTAATTTTCACCTTTGAGTCAAGATATCAAGAAAAGAAAGAAATACTGCTGATCAGATTCCTCTCTTTGATGGAATGGCCAATCTTCTCCAAAAGGAGAGTCATTGGGCCTCTAGTTTCATAAGTTGGAATATATGAATCACTAATTTATCTGTTTTAAATTTATATTCATACTAGTGAAAAACTTTGAAGAGTTCATGACTAAAATCCTTGAGAATGTTCAGTTTGCAATGAACATATTTGAGTTTTGTTTTCAATGAATTTCAACATATTATTTCTATAGTGGCCTGGTAATATCTTTACTTCCTGTTTAAGTATGTGATAGATTCTCTGTACTTTATGGCTGCATTTACTTTTCTTTTTAACTAGATTAACATATAATTAAGGTAAATGTGAGGCCATTCATTTCTCAGAAGACTGTGTTTACTATTTCTTTTTGGTCTGACTTAATAGGGAACAAGTAAGAACTTTGAGAATAGAGACACTTTGGCTAGATACTTCTAATCTAGGGTGCCCCCCTTTAATCCTATGGATCATACTGACTCCTGATACACCAAGATGTAAGAGTGCTGATTAAGGGTGAAGTTTCAGCATTCATTCTGGATTTCACCAATTTATTTTAAACTTGAATGTTAGATTTTCAATAAGTTATAATTTTGTAACAGATAAAATTAAGTGATAGCATTACTAGGCCATTTTCGAGGCCTTTATGTTTAAGCACTTTAAAATAAAAATTGTTCAAAAGAGATGAACTGATATTTGTGAGATAAGAGTGAACTTCAAGATTTTAAGTAATTTTTTTCCCCTGAAACTTTAAACTTAAATGTTTGGTCAGCTGGTCTTTCTTTAAGGTGTTTGCTGATGAAGTTACACCCAAGCGATTAGTCAGAAGGTCAGTGGTTGACTTCTCTCTGCAGTTCGGAAGCTTGAAGGGATAGGGCCTTCTATATTCTTGTCACCTCTAGTTTCACTCAAATTGCTTGGGTTTCTGCTGCCACTATTAGGAGCATTCAGGTATCTCTTTCACTGTCATTTATATCTAAATTAACACCTACTCCTCATTTATCAACTGTCTTGTTATGTGACATTTTGCATTTACGACAATAGTAAAAAAATCTACTATCCAACTATTTTGCATATGAACTATGTACATCTAAACCAAACTCACTGCCATCGAGTCAGATCCGACTCATAGTGACCCCTCCTTGGGTTTCTGAGACGGTATCACTGCGGAAGTAGATTGCCCAACCTTCCTTCCGAGGAGTGGCTGGTGGGTTTGAACTGCCAGCCTTCTGGTTAGCAGTCAAGTGCCTTAGGCACTACACTACCAGAGCTCCTTATATACGTTTAGCAGTAACAAATGCCGAGGGGCAAGGCAGAGGGTATCGCTGGCTGTGATGGTTAAAGTTATATGTTAACTTTGGTGGACCAAATGCCACATATCTTTGTGGTTTGGCAGCTGTGTAGTAATGTGGTTTGACAGTTATGTAATGATGTAGTCATTATCCATTTTGTGATCTGATGTCATCCTCCATTTTCGTATAGCACCAATTTTTGCATAACAACCTGGTCTTTGGAACCTAACCACGTTGATAAGTGAGGAGTGGGTATATGTATAAGTATATGAATATATACTCTCTGTTCATCAGTGAAAAATAGTTTTTCCTATTTATTTGAATGAAAAATTTAAAAAAAAATCTTCATTTTAAAACAGACTTTCCCACCACTGTCAAATTCTAGTTTAGAGGTTAAAAAATACATCAGAATTCTAGATATATCAGCAGAATAAAATGAAATTTTGATCCATTTGAGGATCATATAGATAATTATATTTTCAACTCATTTTGAGGACTGAACAGTTACAAGAGCTCTAGTGGTATAGTGGTTAAGAATTCAGCTGCTAACCAAAAGGTCAGTGGTTCCAACTCACCAGCCACACTCCACAGGAGAAAGATGAGGGGTCTGCTTCCATAACAGTTTATAGCCTTGGAAACCTTATGAGGCATTCTACTGTGTCCTATAGTGTTGGCATGAGTTGGAACTGATTTGATGGCAGTAGTATTTTAGTTTGTTTATTTAGTACTTAACAGGAGAATAAATTTTATAGTTACACAGGTGATGTTGTAAAATGGCACAGCAGTTGCTCTCTGGCTACTATTCCTTTATGAGTTTTTGGGGAGCAGATATGTTTGTGCAGGCAGCAGCTCATTTTTTTCCCCTATGCATTTTACTTTAAATTTTTCTATCTTTGAGTTTAGTTGATTGTTTTATAGGGATACTTTGTTTTCCCTAGCAATAGAAAGAAAACCTCAGCTTTCTAGGAATTGTTTTTTCTCTACATTTTATTTATTTTATTGTTGTTGTTGAGAATATACACAAGAAAACATGCACCGATTCAACAATTTCTACATGTACAATTTAGAGACACTGAGTACATTCTTCAAGTCATGCAACCATTATCACCATCCTTTTCTGAGTTGTTCCTCCCTTATTAACGTAAACTCACTGTCAGTTTGATCCAATATGATCTTAAAAGAGCATAGTGCTCAAGACAGACGGTTTTAATAGTTAAGCTAAACTATTGTTTGGTTTTAAGATGACTTCAGGGGATATTTTTGGTTTAAGGTTTAAAATTATCTCAGGGCAATAGTTTCAGGGGTTTATCCACCATCCATAGCTCCAGAAGGTGTAGGATCCATGAAAATTTGAAGTTCTGTTCCACATTTTCCCCATTTTGGTCAGGATTCTTCTGTGGAATCTTTGATCAAAATGTTCAGTAATGGTAGCTGGGCACCATCTAGTTCTTTTGGTCTAATGGCAAAGGGGGCAGTTGTTCATGGAGGCATTTAGCCACACATTCCATATCCTCTTCCTATTCCTGACTTTTCTACTTCCTCTTTTGTTCCAGGTGACTTGAGACCAATTATTGTGCCTTGGATGACGGCTTAACAAGCTTTTAAGACCACAGGCACTATACAACAAACTAGGAGGTAGAACAGAAGCACTAAACATGTTATTAGGCCGACTAGCTGGGATATCCCATGAAACTATGACCCTACACCTCCAAAACAAGGCACCAGATCCCATTAGGTGTTTGGCTGAACACAAGCAGTCTGAGCAGCTACTCTTTTATTTTCTTTTTCAATTTGTCATTGTTGTAAATATATCGATCACATGACTTTTGCCAATTCAACTCTTTATAGATATACAACTTACTGACAGCAATTACAAAATCAACTGGGTCTAGGTAGTTTTTTAAAAGCAGGTATTTTAAATCTTGATAATGAAGAGGCCTACCATTGAAAAAGACTCATATATAATCTCTGGTAGTCATGGACCTAGTCCTAGACAACCCAACTTCTAAACTTTCTACTAACCATAAAGGCCCAGGACTCACAGTTTTTTATAAGGGGAAATAGGAACTCACATTTTCTGGTAGGAAGATATGTCCTTCTTTATCAGTTCCTACAACTCTCAGGAGGCCTAGCTGGATGAGTCAAATGTCACACGCTGCTCTCAGTTGTTGGAAATCAGTTTGGTGGTTCCCACAGTCTCTGTCTCCATGACTCCACTTGATGGCTGGCAGAGTTTCTCAGCCAGTTGAGAATGACTGCTTTCATAATCTAGTTATAGAAGTAGTGGGCAAAGATTGGAAACCTCTGATCAAATTAGTTATAAAAAAGAATGCTATTACCAACCCAGAAGGGGCAAGATTATATAATGACAACCTGGAGGTAGGGGAAGGGTCACACATGCTGCTATCCCTTTGATTGAGTACATTTCAAGAGCAAAATCTTGGATCATCATAACTGCCACTGCAGTGGATATTCTGTATACCAAAAATTGAAAACTATCAGTGGAAACACAGCCAGTATGCATTTTAAAACTCAGAACCGCCCATGCACATATGAAAGTTAACTATCTCAAGGGAAATGGGATGTGGTGTAGTACTTCAAAGGATATGTAACAAATATTGGGTGATTAGATGTTTACTGTTTATAATAAACTGTTAAATGTATTTCTGTGAACATTCCAGGAGGGAGTATTCTGGGTGGTGGTTTATGTTTTTCAGTGTAGACAAATTATATTTGGTTTGGGAAGAAATATAAAAGATTAAATTATATTTAAAGTGTAAAGAATTACATTGAAGTCCAGTTGTGTTAACTATATTAAATATCATAGTAACTATTGTTATTATAACATTTACTATTTGACAGCACATTTTAAGGTCTAAGAAAGGTAGTATTGACAGTGCATTAATTAATGTTAGTTATTGTTAGAAACTGAATGTTAACACAGAGTTTGTTTATGTATGAAGGTGAAAACTTCTTTTTGTATTGTATTAACTCTTTTTAAATGTATTCAGTCAGTGAAATCAATGATTTAGTGTAGTAAGTAGCACCAACACTTTACTTCAAGGAAGCATTTTAATTCAACAAATGAAAGATTTTGTTATTTGTTTTGCATGGTACAATGGTTCTACTAAAATGTACTTGTGTAATAGGTACTAGATGATTTAAACACAAAAACTGGGAAACTACAAAAAGAAAAAAATCCCATAGCTTGTTCTACAAAATATGCATTACTAATAGTAGAAGCCATATATTGCCATTGTACTGTTGTAACACTTGAGAATGCTCATCTGGTGCTATCTGTAAACTACTGGGTATTAGCGTCTGTTAGATCCTTCTTCCTGATTCTTCTTGAATGTATAATGTGTGCCTTTTCTGTTAGTTTTGATGTTGAATGGTAAAATCAGTGTGGTATTTTTATATTATTATAATTCTGCACTTTATACTTTCTTGGAAAGTAAAATTCCAGATTCCAGTTTAAATAGTATTTAAATATATATAATGTTTACAATAAATATTTTAATTCAACATCTAAAAATAAGAAAAATTTAAAAATACTTTGTATAGTTTGTTGATTGCTATTTAATGCTGCTTCCTTCTCAGTTTATTTTATATCTGTGAGAATGGCTAAAAATGGGAACAGATTATAGTTTGTCTTTTAATGTGACAGCAAACACTTAAGAAATAATGGCCAAGATTGGGTCACCTTAGAGTTGCTGCAGTATGTCAATTCTGATATTTATTGTTTCAGTAACAATTATGTGAGATAGAGATTACTCTCAGCCATCCTATTAAGATCTTCTTCTTTTTTTAATAAGTTAGAAGTAAGCCTAATTGATTGAATCAGGTCACCAAAAATTTCCAGAACTAAATGAAGATTATGTATAGATTTTAAAAATTGTTTTTATATACACTAAATATTAAAAGACACTAAACATTAAAAGAATTAAAAATTTTTCATTGAAAATCTTGGGTATGCTGTTAAACCTTTTCACTAGATCTTTACCCCTCTCCCTCAACTTTTTTTGAATTCTGTACCTTTTGTTACGACATCTTTTACCTCAAAAATTTTGCTTTTTAAGAGCTGATAAAACTTACTGCACTATTAACAACAACTGTCGCAATTAATTTGTTATAAGATGGATGCAAGGTATGTTACAGAAAATAATTATAAAGTCATGTGGCAACAGTAATCATCTAAAGTAGCATTTGATGGCCTAAATCTTGAGAACAGTATCATGCCAAGCTTCTGTATAAGCTAAGGTTAGCAGGAAGCACTCATGATGAGTAATTCATCTTAAAAATAAGATTTTATTTTACACAAATCCTTTGTCCAAGGAATTAATCTGTATGTGTGTATATATTTAGTTTCTCATAGCAAGAAAAATAGTATTCCATATGCTATAATACCAGTATCTATGACTTCTCTACAAACATATTTGTACATATATACTATATATTAAACACAATCTTGTTCATTACTCATAATTTTGCAGATGCCTTTAGTATATATTCTCATTTTGTCATAGCATTCTTATACAGTCTACAGTAAACAAAAATTTTCTGTTTGTGAAACTATGATTTTGTCATTTTCTATTCTTTATTATTTTATAAGCTTAGTAAGCAGCAGTATGTCTACCAGTGAGCTCATTAGTTTTAATGAAGCATTAAAGTTTAATTAAAGAATCACTGTTTCACATGCCATTTAAATTAAAATGACTTTCAATTAAAAGATAATATGAACACAGGAAGCTTTTTTCCCCTCACCCTGATTATCAGTTTGCCTTGTAATAACTTGCATCCATCTAAAATACTAGTATTTAGTTTTGGTCATTTCTTTCGGCCTTTATCAAGGGGAGTATTTAAAGAATGCTTTGTTTACTATACCTCATTTAGAATGACTTTGATTTCTCACATGTTAATAAATGTATTTCTTTACATTGCTTTAAAACACTTGCATCTTTGCTCTTTTCTAACTCTGAACTTTCCTCTGTGGCTGCATCTGAGGTGCTTTTTTCAGGTATCGTTTTGTTTTTTTTTCTTTCAATGTACATTTTTCTGGCGTTTATATTTAGTTGATCTTTTTTCTTTCTAAAAATGCTCATCTGAACATATTTTAATGTAATTAATTATGAACTCGTTTCTAGTCATAAAAATGAATGCTGTTTATTAGTAACGTAATTGTATACAATTTAAAAAGTGTCATTTTATTTTTATGCAGGTGATGAAACATACCAGGACATTTTTCGTGATTTTTCCCAAATGGCGTCCAATAATCCAGAAAAACTAAATCGTTTCCAGCAAGATTCACAGAAATTCTGATTTTTTTTTAATAAGGAGAAAACATTAAATCTGATAATTCCCTGATATGTGCAGCTGAAAACTCACAAATTTTTATTGCTTTAAGTCTACCTTACTTAGTTAATTTTGGTAGATATTGAATAGTTAGAAAAAGGTACCCATTCATTGATATTTTTTATAAATTATAGTATAGATCTCTAATAGCAAAGGAACGTACTTTAGGACATGCTTCCTCCCCCCCCCTTTTTTTTTAAATCCTGTTTGATAGGCTGTTTTGTGAAGATAAAAGTGAAGTCTAGACTTCGACCATTTCTAGGTTAGATTAGAAGATGCAAGGGGCTAGGCAGACTCTCTTCTTTGCCAGTGGCCTGTGGCCCATTGATTTCTCCATGCATGCTGCCCGCATCATTCAGTCAAGCACATCTGCATTGTTGGAAGTCAGCTGTCCGGCCTGCCTCAAGAATCTGTCTTTTTAGCTTTCCATTGATAATTTCATGGTTCAGAATTAGTGTTTTAGTGTTTTTCTTTTTTCCCATAGACTAGCTGCCATACACATGATGTGTTATTTAATTATTAGAAATAGATAATACGTTTTCCCTCATTTACTCAGAAATGCAGTTATCTATCTAGATGTCAACTAATTGTCCCATACTTAGCATATATATAATGGCTGTATGGGTAGACATAGTTCAGTCCTTTAGATTTATTCCATTTTATGAAGAAAAAAGCCCCAAAACATTTTTTTAATCACCAAAAGAAACTGAGTTGTAGAAGCTGTAGTTCTTCATTGTTGGGTTGATTTTATGAAAGCTTGCCAAATTTATTGAGATAATAAAACTGTGCTTCAAAGGTTACTTGAATGTTGCAAAATTATGCTTTCATCAAAATGTGACTTTCAAAGAAAAGTTGATTTATAACATAATATAAGACATTTTTATATTTTAAATTGCCCTTTTCAATATACATTTTTGCTGTCGTTCCTAGTGAAAGAAAGATCTGTCTAAAGGAGGACAACATCCTATGGTTTTCATTGTTTATACAGCAGTAATTCACTTTTTAATTTTTTTTCCATCCTCTGTGCCTGTGTTGTACACAGTGTCAATTCTTTTTAATTATATCATCTGTATAGCTGTAGTGTTTAGTTACATGAATCACAGACCCTTTAATTCCAAAACATTATGGATATACTTATTTACCATCTACCAGTATGCTACCAGTTCGTCTGATTCCAGCTTTGACTGTCTTGTCACAAGTGCAGGATAATTATAAGTTGCCTTATGTTCTTTTCTAGTATAGTCATTCACTATAGTTAAGTTTTATCTTTTACAAATTATGTATATATTACTACATAGTCATTCTAGTAAGAAGAGATTTTAAAACTTGGGTTATCAAATGAGTAGAGAAACTATTTTTAATTGGATAGTTAGTAAAGTTTCTAACATTTCCCCCGATAAGTAGGGTTTTATAAATTAATTAAGTATGAAATCAAAATCTATATAAACAGAAATTACACTGAAATAAAATCATACCACAGAAAAGCCTCCATAATTTGTTTGGCCACATTGCATATATGCAATGCTTATTTAGCAATAGTCACTGTACATAAGAATAAGGATAAAAATACATCTTACATATTTGTGAATTATTTCCAAGGGCAGGCTAAATCTAAAGCATTGTATTTTAATTACAACAAAAACAGAGACATTAAACGTTTCCTGTTTAACCTCAAAGTAGTCACGAGTCATGGAGTTTTAGGTATTTTACCTAAGACAAAAGTTTGGTTTGTAACATTTTTATTGGAGTGTATGTTGAAATTAATTGTCCAAAATGCTGAAGGATAAAGAAACATGTTAAAAACAAATGAATGAGAGAGAGAGAGGGAGAGAGGGAAGAGAAGTGAGCCTCACTTTTCCTGTCAGTGCTTACTCTTGTTTTCATCCTAGGACTTCAAGAGCTCTAACTTTTTCATTCTGAGGCAGCCTAGGCAGCTTTCCTTTTGGATCCAGCTATTGGTGCTTCACATCACCCTTGGGATCTCTGTGGTAGGGAAGGGAATTCCTTATGAAGCTTTCCTCCTCTGGCTTGCTTGAGTCATGAGTTGCCCATGTGGCAGTAATTAGTGTTTACTCAAATTTCATGGTTAGAGGTGTATTTGAAATGCCCTAAAGATGATCATGGCTCTGCATCTCCTCAGAGAAGCTAAACCTCTAGTAGTGTGGGGAAGCTGGCCATACGAAAGATCTATTTCTGACTTGATGTTTTTGAATAATCTGAGATGTAATTTGGACTATTTTGGCAGAAATGGAGTAAACAGCAAGTCTTTGAAGTAAATTAATAATTACTGAGTAGCTACAGGGTAAGGTGGTTTTTGATGAATTTAACTATGTCAAGTAATAACTTTAGCTGTATAGTATATATCAAATCTGAGTTTTATGCTGTGAAATAGTCAATGCATTATGGGAAATTATCGTGTAAACAATGTTAATAATACTCTTGGGCTTCAGAAGTCAATGTATGTGATCACCCTTTGTCTTCTTTGCATAACTGATCTACTGTTACTAGTTTCTGATTCCTTATCATTATTCTGTTAGTTCATTAACTTAAAAAATTATTTAAAAAAATAGTACTAAATATAAAGAGTTCATAAAATACAGTTTCATGTTAGAACTAGATTAAAGGTAACTGAGTCATTATTTGTAATGCTTCATTGCAACACCATATGTATGTTTAAGATTCTAAGGTTTTAAAAATTACCTTTGGTACAATCCCTTGAAATTCAGAAATTTTAAGGGATTCACTACATTACAGTGTTTGCATAATTTACACTGGTCTTCATTGTAGATTTTAATGAACTCACATGTTTACTTTCAAAAACATGCAGATTTAATTTAGAATGTGTACTTTAGTTCTTCGTGAATGTATCTTGAGAAAAAAAAAATACCTTCACAGTCTGGACAACTTCAGTTTATGGTATGTTAAGCAGTATTTTAAAAATAGAATTTTATGCATATAAAGTATATGGTCACAATAAACCATATTGTATTCAAGACTCAATTTACTACCTGCTTTGAATAAGACATTCCCAAAACACTTTTAGGTTGTCAAATTAACTTTTCTATTTGATAGTACTTTCGACCATGGACATGAGCTGGGAAAATGACGTATTTGTATAGAATTGTATGCCCAGAGTGACTTCAGAGCTACATACAGTGGTTAGAGCATTAGACTGGTAGTCACTGCCCCTTTTGGATTCAGGACTCTTCATAAATAAAATGAATGGGATGAGAAAAGGTGAAAATACAATATCCATTTGTATACTGTTTTTCTGTTTACAGTGTGCTTTGACATTACTTTTATCTCACCTGATTCTTGCAGTAGGACTTTGAGATCTTAATCTAGGAGTTCTAGCACCGTCTGCTTCTCTGAGCCTAGTTTGCTCCTCTTGTTTTACAAAGGAGGTCGCTGGGTTTGCTAGTTGGTGGCAGAAGTGACCAGAACCCAGGTCTGACTGACTGCTAGTCAGGCATTTTCCTAGCATCATGAAGTGGGTTGAAACCATTATAAAACAGCAAAATCTGATAATGACTGCAAGCTTTCCTGTGTCTTGATAACAAAGATTCCAAATATTCTGAAGAACTTGTATGTAATATTACCTTAAAGGAATAGATTAGGATTTGAAGACAAATTTTACATTTTTTGTAGTTGCAAATATTGACAAAAGTAAAACATAGTACAAGTAATGCTAATTAACTATATACTTAAAATTTTTTTGATGCTTCGAAATGATAGATAAAACTAAAAGCAGCTCAGATTCAGTTTAGTTGAATTCTGACATCTATAATAATAGTTTTGTGGACATAATTTTCTCTTTACAGATATGTATCCACTTCCATGGACTAATGGGGAAAAAGCAGTATTTGATTAAACTTTGCATTGGTCTTTTCGCATCTTTATATTTTAGATTTTCCTATTTCTCCCTTTTGAGTGTTCATTTTAAACAGGGAAAGCTTGCTTCATTATAAAGATTGTTGGCACCATTTATTTTACACAAAGCCTAAATGTTAGCTTTTTGAAACAATGAGTTATTTTTGTGTGTTTACCTGTGCTTTGTGATATTTCTGGATCATTCCAGTCATAAAGACTTATTACATGTAATATTTCTTGCTATCTGTGAAAAGGTATATTTTAAAGAATGTCTGACACTTCATTTGCTTTTTATTAGTCTGTAGAGGGTTTATATCTAATACATGAATGTAGTTTTACTGTAGTTTGTCATTGTAAATGGAACAAAGTACCTTATCTTTATAGTTATTCTAAAATGTACATTATGTAAGAATTGTAAATATTATACTTGATTAAATACTTTGTATGCTGAAAATTATGATAAGTCAATAAAAATCTCACCTCTGGCATAGTTCTTTTATGTTCAGACTTCTACTTTTTTGTGAACTACTCTGCAGACATATGTTAACCACTGTTACATTTAAGGTATTATGTCCCTTTCCAGTCCTCTCAAGCAGATCTGGACTGATCCTATTTGCTGACTGCTTCAATTAAGAAATTCATTTTGATACTTTAAATATTTTCTTCTGCCTGGTCACAGAGCTATATGTCACCCAGTTCAGTCTAAAAACCATAAAAGTCTGTTTGGGGCCGTAGCTCTAATTTTTTCTTATTGTGATCAACACATCTGTTATTGAACATCTCTACACACTAATTATTAAAAAAACCAAACAAGGAAATAGTGTTATGATACTGTGATATTGTTTGAACATTATGCCTACTTTTTGGAAGTATCTAATCTATAGGTAACACATTTATGTTCAACCCTTTAGTAAGCAGACAGCAAGCATTTTATATGAATTTCGATCAAAGGAATGGAGAGTTGAAAGGACAGAACTATTGTCTATTCTTTTAAAAGTTCACTGAAAGCAAACAGATAAAATTTGTCTATGACCTGCTTCAGTTAGCTGCATATCCATTTTGGAATAGTTGTGCGAGTAAGAGAATGAACCCTGAGA